CCTCCTCCTGTACCGGCCCAAAAACCACAAGACCGACCGGTCGGATGGTTCAGCCGCAACAAGGGACCTGGCACCACTTAACCGGATCTTTCGGATAGGGTTTTCGTATACCCGTACCATATCTTATTTCGACCACCCTTGGCTTTGTTCCACCGACTACCTGCCTCGGTAACATCGCGCGCTGTGACAATCTTTTTCGTGACATGCGTAACACACGCTCCGACTAAATCTTTGGGGGTCGACAACTTCCTCAAGTGAGCGNGCGACCGCGGTTACCTATAACGTTTTTCCAAATGGGTAGAGGATTTAAGACACTACATAATTCGCCGCAGCCCAAACCGAGGAAAGGGGTTTTTCTTTGAGATCCCTAACCCGAGCCTTCGATTCAAAGTCTGGTGCGCAAGGCAGTAGGAGCGTAAATACAACGCGGGTGTTTGATCTCATCACCCGCGTGGGAACCTTTGGAGACCTGTTGCGCAGTCTTTGAGTTCCGATTCAGTCTACAGTTCTCCGGTGAGTTGATTGACGATCCGCTGTTCGGGATTGGACCCTAGTCCCACAGACCCAATAAGACAGCATTGAGGCCAACCTAGCTTGGATGGGCGGTAGCAGTCCAATGAATTAAAGAAGACTTTTACCGTCGACAGGAAGCCTACTACGTCCATCTTGTGGGGGGTGACCAGTAAATTGCCCTCATCACGTTTATTAGCTGCAGTGACCTCTGCAGGGGCGAGGGTGGATACCCAAGAGAAACCAGGTACCCAGGCAGCTGTAAAGACTGAGCATTGTCTGACCTCTATCCATTGACCTTTCAGATACGACCGGATTTGCGGCTGTGAAAAGTCATCTTGTGAAGCTCGCGGNGCCAACACACCACTTCAGGGTGCAGTCTCGTCGTGATCGATTTGTCTTTAGGTATACACGATCCACTCCGCCTCAACACAAACATGCAGTTTTCTTGGATTTGAGCAAAAACCTTCCGCATAGCAGTCCAAACGCTTAATACTCTCACTACCCGGAACTGAGGCCCAGTTCCATACAAGCTATATGGAGCTTCAACCTGTACGATGTACATGCTTATTCAGCAACTTGATATTTAAGTATACCTGTTGTGAAACACGGTGTTATACCAGTGAAGAATATAAAACTCTGCAGGACTTCCTTGAGCATAATAATTTTTCAATTATATAAAATAAGGAGATTTCTACACTGTCCAGAATAATCAGGCACGTCTCACCCCGTCATCAGGAGGCAGCATATCGAAGTATGCCATGGAACTGACTTATTGCACATGGCAGAAAGAGCTATCGGGACCATCCAGATTAAACATTTTTCTCTTCTTTGAAGTCCACTGCGTTTTATGGGTGAATTCATATGATCTATTTTCCTGTCCATCCGGAGACCCCATTGATATTGGTTGTCGTTGTCAATCTTGGCTATTCTATGAACTTCCTGTGCAAGCGCTTTACCATGTGTAGTATCAACTGGAATGTTCATGTTTATTAAGCCCAGAGTTTTGTGACGTCAGTGTGGTGAGTTGAAGCTAGTCGTGGAAAACCAATTAAATAGTTCTTCAACGATTGATTGTGGCACATTTTTACATTAGTTTACACGAGACTTACAAGATAACTACCAAGTTGACGAAGTTCTGATCACAAAATGTCTCAGTGCGATATGATCAATTAGTTTGTATTCAAATACGTTTTGATCAACCGCTAGAAACGCCGATCTGAGAAAGAACTTAATTCGTACACCTACGCATTGAGCACATGAAACGACGTTGCACGTAATCACCACTTAGTACCCAAAAGGACCATAAGCGGATCACCACCATCTTCCATAACTAAGTAGGTCACCGTGATCATGCTCTCCGTGTGATTATAAAAAAGCCAAAACGAGTCATATACCAAAATGCTCCGAGGCAGCCAACACAATCGCAATACACGCGTTTATTGACAAGTCGGGAGACACATATATAAGCGATTATGAATATGTATAACAGAATAGAAGTGCAGATACAACAACCGGGAGTGGGAAAGAAACGCTCTGGATTCGATTGAGTATATCCACAACGATCATATCGACCGGAAAGGAGTTTCAGAATCCGTACACAAACGCGAGATGAATGACAAGGGATGTGTACGTGAGAGTTGGGAGATAAAACAAAATAAACTAGAATTCGGGTCGTAAGGTAGAGAGAGATCACAGACATATACAAATAAACAATCAATGTTCACGAGAGCACTGCCCACTGGGAGTATTCCATATACCACTGCTTGTGCGTGGCTTGTGCTGGAATTTGTAGCCATTAAACACCTCATCCAGATCAAAGGTCATTTGTGTAGCGGATGCGAATTCGGAAGGCCACTTCAACTGACCAGAATGTATGAGCCGCAACGTCTCAAGCAGATTTCGATTGTCTGTCATAAAGGAGCCAAAAAAGAACGGATTCAAGGACTGAGTGGCAGATAATCAGAACATCATTCTATCGGAGTGCGGTATTCCCTCATTGAGTCTTGGATAACATTTTAGAGATTGTTCTTATGAAAAGACGTGATATGCGATCAAACAAACGGAAGCAGATTGGGACGCGCAAGTTACACACACTCGAAATATAAGCATCTCTATGTGCCGGTACCATCAAGAGAAAGACTAAAACAGCTCGAGTTCGTATTCTACCTTTGGAGTTTTTCTCATCCATAAAGGCAGGTGTATACGCTTATTGACAAATGATCAAAAATACGACAAATGTCTCCGGCAAAACTATGGAAATATTTGTGATTTTCTTTTTCTGCGCATATCATTTAGTAAAAGTTCATTTATCCCACACATGCCGTTTCAGTTTGATTTTCGAATATTTTTATGAGCGAAAAGGATAGAAAGCAATCGGAATACAAAAGTAACAAACCGAGAACCTTAAAAAGCTGTGATCGCGCGCTTCATTTCCTGCTCGTCCACTGTGTAGCTTGGGGAGTAGGGTTTGCCATTGGGTCCAGTATACATCAGATATATATATATATATATATATATATACTCCATAATAAGTAATATCTGAATGACCAGACAAAATTTCCCTGGAAGCACATGACCGGTTTTGCGGGTTTGCCGCTCGTCAGGCATGCGTAACCGGTAATTCTTTGTCAGTTTATTCATATACTTGCACCCAGGAAGTGTATTTTCGTCACAATAAACTTATTTGTAACATCGGTTGACTATTGGATAGACAGCTCTTTCAGAATAATCAATGCTATAATTTGATGTTTTTTAAGTGGGTTAGATGCTACCACCCGCAACAAACGTAACCTGATGGTCTTTGTAGGATATTTAATAATAAGCAATATATGAATGATCAGACAACATATATTCACACACGTTTGAGTCCAGATTGTGCCAAACAAATCACGTTACAACGATCTTTATGAAATCGTTCCCTGGTTTGTTTGTGAGTGCGATAATGCTAGTTCACACAGACTAAAGCAGGTGAATTTCCTTCGGCGATTCACAGCCTCAGCTAGTCAAAGCCTGCATCGCAAGGCAGTGGAGTGGTATGTGAAAATCGCAGTCCACTGAGGACCGGTTTACAGCTGATCCAATAATAAGCCTTTGGAAGTGATTATATGTCTCGGGAGTCCAATACTTTTAGGTATTTAGTCGAACCGATGACCGCTGACACAACCAGGACGGTGTGCATGTGTTTGTGGTTCGTACGCTTTTTCTTGGTTTCGAATCAGGGTTTTTACCCAACTCCTCTAGATGATCTGCCAATGGGTCACCGAAGCGGCCATAGACCCGAGGTCCTGACATGCGGACAGAAGGTTGGCAGTCATCAACACGAACAAAGTCATTATCCAGTGGTCGTTGTCGGACATCATAAAATCCACCAACACTATTCTACGTTATTAATACAAGACACAGTGCTACGGTCGTTCGGTAGATTGATGCGCGATTTCTCAGCAGGAACTATTCTTCAACGAACAAGAAAGTTTCGCCCACTAAACATCTAGAACAAGTAAACTGGATGACATTTTTTTAAACTGCTTTGTCGAGTGCAATAACCAATGTGGATGATCATAGTAAAGTATTAATGCAACCCCATCCAAGCAAAGCCCAGTGCAACAATTGGTCGCTGTGTATCTCGGAGGAAACTGTTTGCATTATCACAGCTTAAATTGTGGAGAAGAAAACTTACCCTTGCGAGACCAACCAGGAATTTTGCGAGCTGGTTGATCTTCATCCGAATCTGAATCCGATTTCAACTGCGACATGTCAAACGGTTCACTATAACGAAGATGAAACGAATGGTCGAAAATTTGACGCATAAAAAACTGTCTGGACGGTTCTTACTTGCGCAACAAAAATTATGTAAAGAGGAAGGAATTAGGGAGAACACAAGTGCACTATGAACGATGGAAGGATTAAGCTCCCGAGTGAAGTCTATCAGGGGTCACTGTAATTGGCTTGTGAACTTGCATCCTTGTGAGCCTCAATCAGGTTCCGAGAAATGCAAGCTCATCCCTAAAGAAATGGTTTAGGTGCGAATGCGGAACGGCTCGGATGAGTGGGTGATCAAATAAGCATAGGACGCCTTTGAAATTGGTTGAATGCATTCAAAATGAGTTGTACGTTAACGTTCACATCATGAGAAATTGATATGTAGATGCAAATGCCAGACTACAAAAAGAACGCAAAGAGAAAATAAACATCCTTAAATCGAAACTGATCGTGAAAGGAACATAGGTAGTAAAACTGGCCTTATGTAAGAATAAACCTGCAACAACAATGAAAAGAAGGGAGCTAGGTACAAATAGGGTAACGCAGATTACAAAGAACTTTTTGCTTCACCGTACTTATTTTGATGGTGATTGGTTTTTTTGTGTCCTTCAGTCTTTCATGTGGACACGAGATTGTACCAGACCATACACCATCCTCGCCAGTGACTCCTATCCTGAGTCATATTTTCCGTTTTTTTCCAATCAACGACAATCCTCTTCGCTTGGGGCTTAACCAGGAAGGCACGCAGCGCAAACCAAAGCTAACTACTTCATATCCCCACACCACGTGATAGTTTAATCAACGCGTCACTTCTTGCAATCTTGCCCAACACGAATGAAGAGAGCACAGAAAGGTACAAGATGGACGGTTTGCATTCAGTTACTGCAACCATTAACTTTGTCTTTGGCGCGGTGGTTTTGGTTGCCCGTTTGGACGAAGTAGGAGGAAGTAATTAAAACTCTACATATAATATCAAGGTGATGAAAGATAGTTCGGAAAGACTAAATTTAAGAAGAAATCAAGTAGGTGCAGCAACACCGCCATGCCGTTCAGGGTCTCTAACCATCGGTTACACTGATCCCGAGGTTCCCAACCACGAAGATTAGCCACATTAACAGTGAAACCACTCAGAAGTTTGAAACTTGGATTTCCACTTAGTCATTCGCATTCAAGTTCGGATTCGGAGTACGACATGGGTGCTTATTGTCCTCAATCCTCAACCTAAAAGTCTGACCCACAAGGCAGTGGGGCATAGATCCAACGCGGGAGGGTGACCGAAGCACCCGTGTTGGAACTTCTAGGGGCCTGTCACACAAGGCCTTCGGGTTTTGGTTCAGTGTATTGTTCGCTGGTGCCTTGATTACCGCTTAGCCTTTCGGGATTGGCCTTAGTCTCATGCACCCAATGAGACAAGCGGAACGTGGACGGGACAGCACCTTATTGGTTGGGGGGTGCCCAGCTTGGGCGGGCGGTAGCCGTCCAATGAAGTGCGCAGACTTCTCCCACCGTTAAGAGGATCTCTAAGGGACCTCACTCCTACGTCCAGTTAATGGGAGATTTTGACCAGTAAAGTGCCCCTCCCGTGTTTATTTGCTGGAATGACCTCTCTAAGGGCGGATATAGAGAGGAGGAAGCCAGGTGCCCAAGCAACTGGTCTAGTTAGAATGAGATTTGTTTGATCGCTGATCACTGACCTTTCAAATGCGATTGGATTTGCTGCTGTGAAAAGCTATTCTATGTAGCTTGTAGGGTCATAGAGGCACGCAAGCCATCGTCCCATGCCAAGTTGCAGTCTCGCTGTGACACAGCTTTAAGTGACCGAGGCACAATCTATCAATAAAGTGGTTTAGTGCTACGACAGCATTCACTGGCTGATTCTTTTTCAAAATGTACAGAAACATATGAGAGGTTAAATGATTAAGTGTGCAAGCTCACTTTATTGCGCTCGTGTCCAAATTAGGAACTACTGGCTCCGGATGAACTGTACTAGTGAGTGTGGCTTGAACAACAGTCTGACCGTGCGATTTGTGCACTAATGTATTCTGTGTAGTGTGTGCGATCGGCTGCTGACGTACGGGTTCAACATTTGTCCCGATTACTTTGGGTGCGTTCTGGCTAGTGTGCATGGTTGCTGCATGTGGGTGAGAATCTTGTATTGGCTTCAACACAGTTGAAGAAGGGAGTTTGACAACTTGTAGGCGCATAGAAGACTGGGTCGCATTGGGAGTGAGCCTTGGTACCGCCGGTTGGGGCTGAGCGGATTTGGGCATAGGTGCCTGTCGGTGAAAAGGTAGCGGTTGGTTTTCCTGTGCGGCAGATTAAAAAAAAAGAAGTGCCTTGTAGGAAAAACCACATTAAAAAATGCAAGTAATTCAGTAGATAGTAATTGCCCAAGTAGCAATCTGACTGAAAATGAGAGCGTCGAACGCAGAAATTTTCAACGTAGATTTGCTAACAACACGAAAAACATGCACATTCAGCCAGCTCGACTGATCACAGACCCATTGAAAATGAGCCCAAACCGATTTCACACGACTCCAACCCTTGTTCATCCAATAAGGCAGTTTCAGGCAAGCAGAGGACTAGCAGTTTAGTTCATATGCCTGAGCTGGAAAGCCCTGTCTAAGAGGGGGAATTTTGGGCGAAAAGATCATGTTTACTTAAAACTGACTATTTTTCGAGTATTTTTAAATTATTTTTTTTATTTAAATTTTTTCGGCGTTAATCGTTCATTACCAGCTGACGTCCGCCGATTGGTCCATTCTGTAAATTTTCTCCATTTTCAAGGCCCGTATGTCCGGGGACCGGAACAGTATATAAGCAGACGAGCTGTCACTGTAAATTCGACTTGTTCTGGGTGCGTTAATTACGCGTTCGTTGCTTACGTAGTTAGGAGAAGGTTACTGGTTCCCGGGGCGTGCAAGCTGTGTTGAGATCGTACTTGTGGGGCTAGATGACTAGTTTGGCTGTTGAAGAACTCGCTCCGTAGTGCTTGGACCTATCTCGTACCTCTGTATGCGTTCCCGCCCTGTGAGATCATGCACGTGGACTGCGAGTCTCTCTCTATTTCTCGTCTATCGTCAGTAGTGAGTGCTATTACCATTATGCTGTACTGTGCCGTGTCGACTCGCGTTTTGGGCACGTCGTGTCTCACGCCGTTTTCTGTGTTACTGTGTTGCTTTGTGAGTGATCGTGAACGACACATGGAACGAGACTAGGAAGTGATCTTGTCAACAACAGATCATCCTCGCGAAGTCACAGGACGATCGTCAGACGCTGGGAACCTTATGGGGAGAACCGGAGTCAATAGAAAAACGTCCTCAAGCATTACAGCTGCTCCCGCAGTGCCACTAATTCATGACGAGAAACAAACTGCTGATAGCTTGCCGAACCGCAGAATGGAAATGCGTCAGGTAAAATATGCAGCTTTGCCCTAGAATCCTCCGACTGCGAACAATCCCATACTGTAGACAACTTCTAGTTCCCCAACCCTCATTCCCTCACATCCATCATATATATATATATATACCTGATCATAGGAAGCTCGATGATACGTAAAAACCACTCGAGCCTTGGAAGGAGAATGTTTGGTGGCTTTCTGTATTCCATTGTCGATGTACGAGAGGGATGAGAACGTTAAGTAATGATGAGGATCACCCTCGTATGTTGTGTGCCGGCAGTGGCCTTCTGATACATAATTTCTATATACCATCCCGACCGCATATCGTTTTTTTTATTACAAGGCTAAACGCTCGAGGAAGTTCAACTGCTTCATCCTGGGCAACCGGGCAGTTTCTCGATCGCGAGAAAATAATGCATGAATTTTGTTACAAAAATGTAATATCTGATTTATTAGCTACAACACAGACTGGATCCATACACGTGTGTAACATAATAATATAACAATTAAGGCTATGGCAAAATCGGAACATGAACAGCTATTAAAACCAAAATTCTAACTTGCGCATGAATCTGAATTATCATTCGTAAAAATATAACAGTTCAACAGCTCGGTTACCGAATGGTGAACATTATAAGTCAACCAAAAACGTACCTTTTCATTGATTCGAGAAATGCATCCCGGTTTTGTTGCAGTATTCTGGAAACAATTTTCATATTGAAGCAAAATTGTTTAAATTTACTGCGAGGACAAAATTAAATATGAACATGGTTTCTAACATTACCAGTGTGAAAAGAGAAACGGACAAAGCCTCAAGTGGGAACTTATTAGGATCAGAATTAGGTGATGAAAATCAGCCCTGGGATTCGCAGTGAATGATCTCGAGGCAAAACTAGGAATTGTTACTTAACCAAAGCGAATCAGTGAGTGACAGAAAACAAGCGAAACTTAGCCACTTCAGCAGTGGCTCTTCAGGGTTAACATGAGGAGCAGAAGGTAAATCTTGAGCAGAAACCAAAAAGTCTCAAAGAAAATCAAAAGTGAAGTGCGACCAGCATTTAAACAAAAACACAACTGACGAAAACGAACGTGATGTAATCGCGTAGCAATAAACGTACGGTTTTTTGTTTGGCAGCCTCCGCTTGAGCCCGAGCCTGAAAAGAGAAGCCATCAGAATTGTGAGTGAATTTGAAACAAGAAGTACGGGGGCGGTTTTCACAAGCAGACCGAAAAAAAATGGCGGAAGGGTAGCGAGAACCACCATTGTAGTGTAAGGATAACGATGCGGGAAAACAAGTTGGTACACCGTGGCTCGTCCAAATGATTAGTGAACGGTCAGGCACAATATTTCTCAACGAAATTCCTAAAGATAATGGATCAAGCTGAAAACACTGATCGAAATTCACAGAGTAAATCACCAAATGAAAAGAGTAACACACTTTTTCTAGTCGTTGTTTGTTCTCTGCAATCGTGCGCTGCATTTCAGCCATTTGTTGAGCTTTGTTTTTGACCGCCAAACGGCGCTCTTCGTTTGCGCGTTTTTGAGCCTCGCGCTCTCGTTGTTTCGCCTCTTGAAAAGCGCGAAGACGCTCAGCATTTTCCTTCAGACGTTCCCGATAAATCCGCTGTTTTTCGGCTAGTATCTGTTCCTTCAATGCTAGTGCCGACTGAGAACGCTCGGTGGAGAGCCCGGTTCCAGAGCGTGAGTTGTTCAGTGTTGAATTTGCTCTGCTTTTTTTGCCTGTGTGGTGAAGTGCGCCTTCAGGAAAAAAGAGAAGATAACGATGATAATAATAATATTAATGTGAAAAGGAGATTGCATTTAGCACTAATTCAACAAAAACTATTATAATTCACCTGTAGCAGTCTCAAGTGCTGTGGTGTATTTCAATCATTTTCTTCCAACGTCACGGAATTATAAAGCTGATCGTTAAGCATAGCTTAAATAACCATTATATTTGCCTTACATGTAATACTTTCCAGTTTCTGAGATGTTAGCATCTACTAACCTTCCTGAAAGGATTAACCGAAGCGTAAAATACATTTACACTGATTGCATCAACCGAACAATAAAGCTACCGTATCGTCGGGGTGTCATCCTCATCATCATCATCGTACAGCGAGATCGCTGCCAAGCTCACAATGTACACAAATCAAATGATAAAGCAAAAGATTGAGAGGGATTGGGCCTATTTGGAGCGAGGCAAAGAAAAAGAACCCCTCCATGTTCAACACACAGAGCACAGAATCTAAGTGTTCATGCACACTTTTTTCAAGCATTCTGCCTTGTTAAGAAATGACAACAAGAGCGCCACTGCTGTCGGTCAGTCGCCATATCCTTTAATGTCTTCAAGCAACCAGGTGTAGAGTCTTTCGGACCCCAACCTGGAAGACGGGAGACACTGATTCTACCTAATCGCTCTGTGCATTACTTCATGCCTCGCTTCCACGTCATCTGTTGACCACCACGCGGTTTCTTCCAACCTGGAGCCGCAACTGCGAATAAGGCGCGGTGCGGCAGACGATGTGTGTTTTGGGTTGTGTATGTGACCACTGCCACAACCGGGAACGCGTGTTTTTGGGGCTCGTAAGCCTCCTCTGGGTTAGTTCGGAAACGGGGTTTTTAGCCAACGTGAACTGATAGAGGTTCCATGATCTAATTACAGTCCGGATGTTGGCTCTTCGTCCTCTCACTTTTGTGGGAAAACGCTTGCCCTTTAACCAGGAAGGCCAATCGACTTCGGGTCTTGCACAGAACGGGGAAGTGCATGAAAACATAGACGAGTAGGCACAGGCTAAACATGTCCATGCTATCGGCGGTGATATAGAGCAATATCTCCTTCCAGAGGAAAACTACCAGGACCCAATCATAGGTTCAGTTTCAATTTGAACAACCATTAACCACGCATATTCGAGCGCCGGTTTTGGTTGCTGTCTTTTGGCTGCCCATTTGGATGGAGAATAGAAGAAAGGAAAGTTGAAAGTGGAGTCGAAAAGAAAATAGAGAAATTCAGTGGTCTAAGGTTGCAAAGAAATTGAGGAGATGCACGAACGCAACTGTTTACGACACCCAGCCATATCGCTCAGTGTAGCTAACCATCGGTTACGATCATCCCGAGGTCCCCAGCCAGGGAGTCTAACAGGACCTATGTGGCCCAGTTTCCTGGTTAGGGTTTTCATACACTCGTGCCAGGTCTTAACTTGACCAACCTTGGCTTTTTCCACTCGGTATCTGCTTCGGCGAACATCGCTCGCCGTGGTAACCCACCTGGTGGCATGCGTAACACATGTCTCAATCAACGTAATCTATGGAGGTCAACCACTTGCCCCAGTGGGCGACCGTATTTACCCAA